GCCCGTGCCTGGCTGGAAGTGAAACGCGCCCCGGCTGCTCCTTTTTCTTTTCTCTTTCTTCCTTTTTTTTTTTTTTTTTTGGAGCCTCCAAAAGGCTCACTCGCCCCTTTCATCTGCCGCCGCGGCCCAATGGGAAGGCGGAGGCTGCCTGCAAGTGGTCTAATCTCAATGAGGTGTCAATCACGTTCCCCGGTGGGTGAAGTAAGGTCTTTTGTAACCGCCTCTGTCTTTGGGAAAGAGAGGAGAGAGGAGGAAGACTGGAGCGGAGAGGGGGACGCCGGACCGTGCTGCAGGAGAGGAACTGAGATTTGATCTCGCTTGTGCGTTAGCAGGGAGAAGCGGAGCACATGGATTTCTAAACACGCTGGGATTTTATATATCTACACAAATAACAACAAGCGAGCCCTGACCCTACTGAAAACAGTCAAATGAATCGTAATTGCAGATCAATGCAGAGAGATGGGGAAACTTCACTCGAAACATGGTTAGTTCCTTTCACTTGCTACTTCCTTAGCCCCTTCCCCTTATTCGGATTTTACTCGGTTTGTTGCTGTGATTTTATACTGGTGTCTAATGATCTTCCTTTATTATTTCCCCCACACACTTTCCTCCGGATCTGCCTAGCTGCCGTTTGTAAACCCAGAGAAAGTCCAGAAGGTAGGGATGGCTCCTTACTGCTAGTAACTTTGAACGCCTTCCTCCGGTCCCTGCGGCTGCCCCGTCCCCCTGCCCTCTCCCCTCAACTTTCCGCGGCGGCTTGCGCGCTGCCTGCCCGCCCCGGCCCCGGCTGGCCGCGGGGATGGCCCCGGGGGCCGGGCGGGCTCTGCGGGCGGCTCAGCGGCGGGGTTGTCTCTTTAAATTTGCGGTGAACGCCTCTCTGGCTCGCAAAGGGCTGGAGGACTGGATGGGGAAGCAGAAATACTCCGGGGGCAGCAGCAGCGGAGGCAGCAGCTCGGGACTCCAGCAAGGCTGCCAGCACCGGGCTGTGTGCAGGCTCTCCAGCGCCAGGGTATGTCAGCTTCCTCGCTGTTCCGCCCCCCCCGCTCCTTCTTTTTGAAATAGGGAAAACCAAAAGCTCTTTCTACATCCCTCTCTCCCTCCCAAGGACCGGTTGTGCAAAGGAAGGGTTTTCTTTGCCTTAATGTTGCTCCAAGGGGCTGCCCCGTGGGTGGTTTCCTTCAGTTCTTTGATGAAGTTAGGAGCTGCAGAGCAAACTTGGTGCTGGTACAAAAGCCAGAGGAGTAAGGGGACCTGTCCACTAGTGTCTGGGCAGTACGATTGGAACAAAACCCTTCACAAACAGGAACAAACAGAGAATCTCTGGAAAAAGCCTAGCACCCTGCCAATGTGCACAAGCTTATGAGCCCTGATTGGTGCACAAGTTTGTCTGTGACATTTTGGCAGAGGAATTCAGGAAAGGAGAAGTCCCCGAAGAGTATATTGTTATTTATTTGCTCTTTGCTAATAATGCGTGGCTGACTTTCTCCATAAGAGTTCCTGCACATGTCACTTGTCCTGGCTGGTACCACACTGGTTACTTTCCACCCTTTTTTGTTCCTTCAGTTTTCCCGTGTAAAGCTGGGCTGGAGAAAATGTTTAAATTGCCTTTTTTTTTTAAAGGTTGCCTCCTTAAACAAAAAGGCATGATGGGAGGTAAACAAACTTAATAATTCTTAGGTATGATCCTCATAGTGTTTCAGGGTATGAACCAGAGCTTATTGATGTTTCCTGAAAGACTCCTATTGACTTCTGTGAGCTTTGGAACAAGCTCTGAAAGCTTCATCAGTGGAAAAGTAACCTGAGAGATGGGGAGATTGGAATCTGTGCTTCCCAGCAAGGAATGTGGCTTTGAAAGCAGAAGCAGAGCAGGGCCACCAAACCTCCTGCAGGCTCTTTGCTTTGTTAGCCACCAGTTTTATTGTCAGAAGCCTGGACTTCTCGCGTCTCGGGAAAAATTAACTCGCAAGTGGAGAATACTTCATTTTAGGTGGGGTATTAAAGTGTGTAGAAGATGTGTAGAATGGGAAAACCTAATGATGACTTTTTAGATTCCACCAGTATTGTATTTAGAGGAGGATAAATTGTTTGGGAGTCATTAGAAGTAAGGTGAAGGGGCTAAGATATTGATCTAAGTGTTTGTAATTGATGAGCATAATCAGTTCATGTTCAGCTTGCAGGTATGGTTGGTTGAAGTGATTTTTATTGTGCTTTACTTGGAGACGTGTCCAAAGAAAGTTCTCATTAATAATGGTACATACATGTATGATACAGATGCAAAGAGTAAAAACATGTGCTTTATATTATTTTTCATTATCCCCATTTTTGTGAATCAAGCTTTTTAGATATGTTCTACCTTTCACATATATATTTTCTAGGAAAGAAGCTCAACTCACCAAACTAAACATGGGTTTAAAATGCAAGAGTTAAAGGTCAAAAACTCTGATTTTAGCTTCTTGAAAAATATTTTCTTCCACAAAGACAGTTGGCTTTCTGAAAATAAAAGAAAAAAATCTTTTGTCAAAGATACTTTGCTATCCACAAAACTCTTCAGTTTTCAGTTCCATGAGGTCTGCTCAGCTGGAATGACAGTAGAACAGTATTTCTCCTCTTACTCAAGGTGTCCTCCTCATGATAGGTCAGCAATTAGCAAGCCATTAACTAAAAATTAGTCTATAGTTTTACTACATTATAAAACTGTAAATAGGTTTAAGTACATTTAAAAGCACTGTTCCCATGAGGCGTTTTACTGTCATCCTGATAGGGCTGTGTCTGAATGTTTGAAAATATTTGCAATTTATTGCCTAATATATTTGGTAGTATCTGTATGCATATATAGCCTGCTAATTGATTTAATTTAATTGTCATCCTGTCACAGGCACACTGTGACAGCTACATTAAAGTTCCTTTAAAATATGAACTTTTGGTAATATGGAAGGGTGCATTTCTAATCCTACATTAGAACCAGATGTGCCATATGTACAGTCTTTTTGACAAGGATTATGGAGTCACAGCTATTGACTCCATAACTGAGATTGCATGACTGTTTCTCTTCTGAGATCTCTTTGATCTCTTGTATAATTATAGCAAGATACAGAGCGAATTGTAGCCTAACCTCTTGGTTTTTCATTCACCTCAACGTGTAGAAATACTAGTCACTTCGACTAATGGTTAGTCATAGGGGGTTGTGTGGGACAGTTGTGTATTCCCCAATAATGTAGTACTATTGCACTTCAATCAGCTAAGGGCTCTTCTCCTTACTACTTCAGAAGTCCTCCTAAAATGTTCAATGAGTTTACAAGGCTCTGTGGAATGGTACAGTTTTATTGTGTCACAGCTGAAACTTTTTGGCTTCTCGTGAAAACATGTTTTTTCCCCTGAAACAGGTCCTAATTGCTGCATTTGTGACTTATGGCAGAAAGAGTTAGATCAAACACTGATGAAAATATCTCCGTTCATTTAAACTCAACATCCAGTTGAGTTTTAAAAAAAAAAATGGTCTTAGAAATAATTTTCCTCCTAGGAATCCTTAACCAGAATTTTGTTGACGTACTTCATTAGTATGTAGGGCCCTATTTGGGAAATCCAGTGTACTTCCAAAGTTGATGGGAGGGGAGAGCTCTCAGTTGCTTCCAAGTCGGAAACTTCAAAGATTTGGATCATTTTGATTGGAACTCGAATGCAATAGTGAAATTTGACTTACATTGCTCTCTGTAAGCCAAAAATTCTGTCTTGGTTGTAGTTGGAAGGCTGTTTTCCTCAAGAACAGAGACACTGAATTGTTTTGCTGAAGTTAGTCATCCAGGGGAGATGATACTGAAGTTCAGGTGGATTCATGTAGTGTTTTACAAGAGGAATGAGTGACTAATACAGGAAAGCAATAAAATTTCATTTGTGCTCCTCTCTAGAATGATTGAACTTAACAATAGTTGTGGAGGGGAGGTCTTTACGTCAGTTCACTCAAGGGGTGTTTGACACAAGGAGGGTTCAAGAATACAACACCTTTCCTCTTCCTAAACTGAAGTTTTGTGAGTTTCTTGGTTAGAGCAGGCTTCTCAGCTGATGTGTCCCGTCCCTGTCGTGTCCCGTCCGTGTCATGTCTCCCTGCCTCCATTCACTGGAAGAACAGTAATTAGTGTCCAGCTATTGCCAAATGCATCAGTCACCTGAGAAGGATCTCATAGTAAATTGTTGAGTGAAGGCATGAGCCCAGCGAAGGGGAGTGTATCTGAAATACGCACTTCTGGTGTGTATACAACTTTCTGTTCTGGGCTAAGAGCTCTGATCTCATTAAACCGTTGCCACCCGCCCAGCAGGGGCTGCTCTGCTCTAAATGTTTTAATTACTGTGGAGGCTGAGGGCTGGGCTGCAGCCTTCCACATCATGTAGAATTAAAGAAAAAAGGAATTTTGTTGCATCCATGAAAAGTATGAGGTCCAGAGTCATCTTCTAGTTTCAGAGCTAATTGAAACCACTGGGGCTGTAAATCTGTTAGAGCAAGTGAATGCACTTCTTTTGCTACTTTATGAATGAGTTAACTTGTGCCCAGAAAGGTTTTCTGACACTGTGCATTATCCTGTATAATTCTTAAGTTGAAATTTATGCAGTGTGTTTACTTTTACAAACTATTTTTGGAGATCAATATTGTTTGCAAATATTCATGTATTTATTTCACTGAGAAGTAGGTCTATGCTAGAGGGGGAAAATATTAAATATGACATTTGCTTAGTTCAATTTACTTTTATCTTCAAAATACGGAATTTTACTAGTCTCTTGCGCGTCTCATTGAGATCTGTGCTTGGGATTGGAAAAAAATCTCATATTTTTAATTAAAATTCAAACCAGCTCACAGTGAGCCAAGTTGTAAGTAATCATTTTAGGTAAAATAGTAAAGACTTTAGCTTACCACTTCTGCTGGGCTCTTTAGTGCTAGTGATCCTCATGTTCAACCCTAATTGATATTAGAGTTGCGTATCTGGTCTGGGAATAACAGAGTATGAAATGCTGAGGCACATCACCGCTTCAGAGGTGGGGCTTGCTCACCATTTGTTCTGTGCCTGTAACTGCCAGTGACATTAATGGGCATTCCTTGAATGGCTGAGAGGAGACTACGCCAGTGTCAACTTCACTGCTCCTCTAGCATAATCGTTCTTAAATTTAAAAAAAAAAAAAAAAGCCCTTCCCAATCCCCCACTGTTAAATAGCATGTGTGTGTGTGTGCATGTAAAAATACATAGCCTTATGGAAGACACAGCTGGGTAGGTCATTCATTCAAAAGGAAAATAATAAACAGAAAAGAGACTTTTTTTAGTGGTCTGTATATACTATGACTTAAAGGCTGTTGAATTGTAAGATTTAATTGTAGCACTATTGGGGTCATCTCATGAGTAGAATGACATTTGAAAGACTGCCTTCTTATTGATATGGTGATGAGCAATTAAAATTTCCTTGGGTGCTATCTTGTGTGACTGCTTGAAGCGATTTTTTAAACCGAAATATTTTCAAGTACATTAATTTAAATATTGTATAGATAATTATTTGTATTGACCCTGAGGATTGAAAGAAACAACACTCAGCAGTGCCAGATATTGGTATGACAAAAAAAGTATTTTGATATACAAAATATTGTGTATGGCATTTAAAATAAAATTTCCAAACTTTGTATTGAAAGAGAGAGAAGCAGAATCTTATTTAGTGTTGAAATTTGGTGCCAACAAACCAAGATAATTTAATCAGTGGTGCACATAGTATGTCTTGACAGCGCTGGTTTGGGAAAATTATGATATGAATATTAACAGTCAAAGAGTCTCTGAAAGTATTAGTGCCATGGTGATGAGATTAGTGAATTGGCCAATACTGTAGCAGAAAGCTGGATTCCAAGGGAATTATCCTTGAATGATACCAGTTGGTGCAATTAAAAGCCACAATTCAGTTGCCATATGGAAAGTGTTAGGCATCCTTACATGGTTTCAAAGCTATGTGCCGGAGGTTAAATTGACATATGAAGAAAAG